AATCAATATCATCATGGCAGGTGGCGGTGGTAGCAGCAGGACCAGCCTGGGGCCGGTCCAAAGGCCTTGGGGGGCCACAACCGGCCCCCAGGCCTTAGGTTGCCTACCCCCAACTTAAACAAATGGCTGGGGAGTAGTGTGGCATAGCGGTTTAGAGAGTTGGGCTTTAACTCTGGAGACCAGGGTTCAATTCCTGGTTCTGCCATGAAACCCACTGGGTGACCTTAGGCAAGTCACACTTTCTCAACCTCAGAGGAAGGCAATGGCAAACCTCCTGTGAAAAAATCTTGCCAAAACAAAACTATGATAGGGTCACCTTAGGGTAGTCATAAGTCAGAAACGACATGAAGGCACACAACAAAGCATTCCTGTGCAAGTGAAGATTGCCAATGAGAGAGTTTCAAAAATAGCACAAGGAAAGATGAGCTGAGTGAGGGAGCCAGCCAGCTCATTTATTAACCCTGAGTTGGAATAAAGTGCATATTTCTACTGAAACTTTGGGGAACATTATTGAAAATTACCTCTTCCCTCCTACCCACATATAAATGTAGCAGCCAAATAGCACAAAGCAAAACACCTAGAAATCAATACAGTCAGCAAGCAAAGTATACTCTGGGCCTATCTTGGAATCTGTTACACAGTCCTAAAAGCAACCAAAATCTTTCAGAACATAGGATCTTCAATAACCCCCAACTTAATTTCAACTTTTCCTCTACTCAGACATGCATACTAGCCACAAGCATTTCAATAAAGCATACATGTGGCAAAATATGTTTGCTTTGCATAACATGTCTTAGTGTTATTTTTTCTTCTTCACTGTAACATTAACAACCATCTCTGCGTACATATAGCCAATTGAGGCAAATAGCAATGCGTTCAAGTTCACCCGAAGGGCACAAAACTGAAGTGAGATCTGAAAATGAGTCCCTTAAAACCAGCTCTTAGTTTAGTGCCATATCCATTCAACTATATTGCATTCTAGTCTTCAACCACTATGCTGACCATATGAATAAATAAGCCCACCTGAAGTCACCAAACAGTTGTCCTGTGGCTCTTTTTCTCCTCTGCACTGCAGTTTGTCAGGTGTATTCACATGGCCATCTGTCAGGGGTGCTTTGTTTGTGAGTTCTTGCATGGCGGGGGGGGGGGGGGGGGGGGGGGGTTGGACTGGATGGCCCCTGTGGTCTTTTCCAACTCTATGATTCTATGATTCTATACAGAGACTTCAGAGTATTGAAATCACAGAGGTTTTTACAGTGTGGCTTGTGTGCGTTTGTGTGAAAACCATGGTCTATCTCCCCTTCTGAGACAACTGTGGCGTAACTGCTCTAAGGATTTTCAAAAGGTAAGGGAGGTTGCAGACTGCTAGAAATAGTGCAAATTGAGTCCACTTTTAGGGTTAGGGTTAGGGAATCATGGGAACTGTATTTTATTGTGGCACCAGAGCTCTCTGACAGAGAAGGCTCAGTGTCCCAGAAAAAAAACAATTCCCATGATTCCCTAGCACTAACCCTAACCCTAAAAGTGGACTCAATTTGCACTATTTCTGGCAGTCTGCAACCCCCCTAAATCTCTTCTACACCCAATTAGGCAAGAAAATGTATAGTCTTGAAAGAAAGCTGTGGACTTCAACAGGAGGAAACAATTTGCAGGCATGCAGAGGCCTTTGTAAATGTGCTTCTAATTTTGAGAATGAGACTGTTTGCCAGGGGCATTCTCCATGATGCTACATCTGACAGAGTATGCCTCCTCTATGTTCACCCTCCTTTGCTCCCAGCTCTGGCATAGTTGTTTTGTCTGTGCACTAATGTGTTTTATCCACATGAAGGAAGAGGGCAGAGGAGAGAACCGAAGGTGAAAATGAAATGGGTTCAGATAGCACCTGCAAAAGTTAGCACAGCTCAGACATAATCTCAGGTTTGTGGGCTTACAGGCACTCCTTCCTCCAAATGCATGCTTTCTGGTAGACCAAAAGCAGGACAAACAAGATGAACACACCACCTAGACAGAGTCTTTCCAGAACCAAAGATAAAGCAACAGGTGTGGTTTTTTTTACACTTGTCCCTCCCCGTTCACAGAGTCCACGGTCTTGCTCCTC